TGTTCGAATATTCAAGAACTAAAACTATACTTTTCTAGACACCTTGAGGGTCCCTTAGAAACCTTTTTATTTCCTAGCTAATACAAGTGATGTAATATATACGTAAATAGATTATATAAATTTGGCAGTAAATTTACACATAAGTTTTTTTTAATAAAATGTGTAGAACGTAAAGAATATAGAATGGTCAACTAACAAATTCATACACAATACCCCTGAAGAGCACGTTCTGCAATGAGTTAATAATAGTTGTTAAGATGCGAGTAATACAATTTTTACCACGTATGTCATACATTTTTGAGACAGGATAACTTACGTTCCTTTTATTTTAATTCAAATATACAAATCATTTAGGGGTATCATGTAACATTAAGATCAGTTGTAGCTGATCAGATGAAAATACTTTGTTTTCTTTGTTGCATTGGCAGTTTTATCTTAACTTTTGAGCATCGCCTCACTTTCAGCACTTACGCTAAAAATTTCATTTTTAGTTTACTAGTTCATTGCTGTGTGTTTACAAACACGAAACAACATACGCAATGGTATTGTTAATGCCTTTGCGGACCTTTCTGATTCTTTCTGCTTGCGCGGGCCTTTAGAGTACTTTATGGCCCCCTCGAACACAAACACATCATATACATTTTTATGAATTCGTTTTATTGAAGTTAAGATACAAAAATGCAATAAATAAATGGCATATTCTTCAAATGAGTAAAATAACGCGTTGTGTACCTAATTTTGCTTAATTGATAGGAAACTTCCAATTTTGTAATGCTTTCCTGTGAGCTTATGCGGCAGCGGGGATGACGTAAGTGGTGTAACGGTTAGCGTATAGGGCGCGTTCAAACCCGATCGAAGCCGTGGATTTTTAAAGGCGAAAATATCCTTCGTACGCCTTCCTTCGGAGGGGAAGTAAAGCCGGCTGTCCCATGTTCGTAGATTTACTTGCATGTAAAAGATCCTCAAGCCTAAATGACGCCTCTGAGCTAAATTCAAATCGCCTGTTTCTCCCTCAAGAAATACCTCATTCCTCCGCTAGTTGGTGAAGGAGCGTAACGAAATTTGCGTTGTCAGACGGAAGAGCGGGCCTGATAGCCCGAGTCTCACCACCTAAAATAAGGCATCAATTCAATTCAATTTATAATTGCCATCAATCACTCATATTTCACTATTACGCATCACCTTTTTATAAAGACGTACATGCTTGTGTTCCAGCATCTCCAGTAGTCATAAGATAAGGCTCATCGGCAAACATCATCGGAAGGTAATTTTTACTTTCCTGTATACATACGTATTATACGGAGTAATATACGTAGTGTAGGGGAAGCTATGTAATGCGGCGCAAAAAAACAGCGTATTTTCGGCAGAAAAAAATTCATTGTCGGACCCCGGTAACGAAAAAGTAGATAAATCCAGTTGTTAATTTAAGAAAAGTAGTGGTGCTAAAACAACACATACCTTCTCTCAATATTGGAAACAACTATGTAATATTGAAATATTACACTTTCTGCGCTACTAACACTGCAGCTAGTATTAGAAAACGTGTAATTCAACCAAGAAGCGAGTAATGCACTATTGCCAACGCAGCGTAGTCAAAACTAAGTGCATTCGCTTGGCTAATATCAGTACAGTAATTAGAATATAAGCAATTAACATTAAAATAATTACGAAAATTCTGGCTGCTCACTCCTGAGATGTGGAGATATTTCTATTAAGCTTTGCAATTGCTTAAAAAGAAATACATGAACACATTTAGAATACAAATTGAGTAAAAGTACAAAAGCGAGAGTGTAAAAATAGAATTCATGTTGGCATATTCAATAGTAAATTATATTCAAATTAAATTATTTATTTCTCATACCATTCATTCCAATTTTCTCGTGACCCGTAGTTGGCGTAACATTTGTACTTGTATACATTTCATTAATTTCAAGCAGAAATTACACAAACTACTCGTTTGTTCCAAGAAAGAACAGAGAAATTACACAGAAACTACTCGTTTGTTCCAAACTTCATCATAAACACATTTTTAATCGTGAGATAATTCGGACATAATTTACGTCTGTTCCCAAAGACGCCTAAATAATTTTTTTATTTACGTCTAATCACCAATGCGTTCTAACTAATTCTTTCCTCACGTCAACTAACAATGACGTATCGACATCTGGTTGTTGATTTCCTATACAAGTCCAATATTTCCGACATCGTGGAATCCATCCATCCCCCTACATACTTCTTCTCTTGGTCCTTGATCATGTCCAATAATGTTTACCATAATTAGTTCAG